GCGAGCTCACGCGCGCGATATTTTGTGTGTGTGTGTGTGTGTGTGTGTGTGTGTGTGTGTGTGTGTGTGTGTGTGTGTGTGTGTGTGTGAGTGTGTGTGTGTCCTCGTTATAAATAGATGTTATTGACATTCCATGTATGACCAAATATGAGTAACGAGATCTGTCACGTTTATAGGCTTTTGATTACGAGGAAACCGTGCACGCGCGTGCAGCAGATATGCGATCGCGTCCCCAGTATCAACCATAGTCTGCACGCGCGCGTTTTTGGTCGTTTGTGATACGTACAGGCGTTGGTGTTTCTTTCATAGTCAAACGGCGTAGTTCTAACTTGTTTTGCGTGAGCGTTCTTTTGTGGGGCAGTTTCGATTTGTTGCAGTTTGCAGTCGACCGGAGGATTTGCTAGCGTTGGTGTTCTTACAACCCGGTTCGAAGCGTCTAATTAGCCCGGCAGATATTGGCAATATTTGAGGCAATTGTGACTTTGATGATACAAGCATGAGCTTTGGCACACGGTTAGAGCATGCCCTAAGGAAGATTTTTGGCTATAAGGCCATCGCATATTTGTCTCATGGCAACAATGGCAGCTATTTTTCAAAATGGAAAATCTCAGTCACAATTCATTCACATATCTGCCGGGCTAAATGCAGTTTTACTAAGCAAACAAAAAACTCGACTTTTAAGTTTTGTTATTTCTCGCCCTGATATGTAGGCCTAATCAGTTAGAAATCCATATAAAGCTCGCTGCAGCCGATTTGCGTCGGCGTGCTAGTCGAAAATTTACAGTATAGCAAATATTCGGTTACAGTTGGCATTCATAAGTAGTAGTCATAATTTTATTATAATGTAGGCAGCCTTGTCTAAGAGATACCTAGCTAAATCGTTCGTTATAATTAACTCATATAATTTGTCTCATACATGCCAGAAGTACCAAGGTTAATATACAGAGCTCGTGGTCCCGTCTTTACCTGGAATGTTGTGCCTACTATGTAAACTCAGGGATTTGGATATTAATAGGCCCAAGCTACCTCGTTTCCAGGATTTTGTCAGTGCCAACTAGCCCTAGGTCATCACGCAAACGTGATATTCCCTTCACTTTGCGTGTGGCATTCTTCGTATCTCCCGCGGCGGACCAACACGCTACTGTTCTGTGGTGACGACTGACGAGTTTACTAGGTGTTGATATAGACGATCCATTATAGTTCGTGCTGTTTTAAGGTGCCGTCGTGTTTGAGTTGCGCCAGCGATTACACATACCGACACCAGGGAGGCGGCTTTTAAACTGTGGTTCTCGCCACAGTGTCTCTCGCTTGGCTGCCAGATTTCAACGCGAAACAAAACAGTACTTGAACCTGCGCTCCAAATCGCGGTTGCCCGCACGACTGATTACCAGCTAGGTTTGCTCCTGTATACTACACGCTATCTGTGTGTGCGCGCGTGCGTACGAAAACGTCTCGAAGGTCGCTCCGCGCGGTATACACTAAAGGTTAAACGACTGCAACAGGTTGCGGTGCGGTGCTGCGTTACCGGCAAGGTGCTATCATAATTCTCATCAACACAACGATGTCTCTCTTGACGCTGATTGTCATGACCGCTGCCGTTGCGGCCGCGGCGGGGGAACTCGAGGTGGTCATTCTTCATACGAACGACGTGCACAGCCGATTCGACCAGGCGGACGTGGGTGGGAGTAGCTGCTCGGAGCGTGAAGCTGCAGCTGGTCAGTGCTGGGGAGGCTACGCGAGACTGGCGACCAAGGTAAGCTCATGCTCGTTCACTAGTTCCTCGTCATTCACTAACAAACGGGTTCTGTTCGACGCCGCAGTTCGCTGATTGAATTATGACTTTTGGTACAGGTACCGTTGCCAGAAGCGTCATAAGCTGTATAATAGTATGTGTATAGTACATGTATATATGTATATAATTTGCATATCATGTATGTATAGTACTACATATAGTAGTATATACGGAAGTACTAATGACAGTAGTAAGGATATAGATGTCAGAACCTTTGCTCATGACACGTTAAAGTGCAAATATTATCGCACCCTATATTCATGACAGTTATAACTATTTATTACGTTTATGAAAACAGTTCCCATGTGTATTAATTGCTTTTAGACATTAATGTTCACCGTGTATGTCGAACAACGATACGCCCGGCATGTGCATATGCAGCACGCATATGCTGAAGCTAATTACTCCATGAAATCACGTGGGACTATATTTAGACCGTGGGCCGAGCAGTGAAAATCCTTCTAGATTTTGATTTTCGTGACCCACCCCTGGTAACTATTTGAATTTTTGTGTGATAGGAGATAAAAAATCATTGAACCAGAATTTACAACTAGGCAAGTCCGAAAGTTGCACACTAATTAGTATTCTTACTAATTGTTATTCATCCAAATGAGCAGCACCCTTTTTGTTCAATAAATGAAGAATCCTGTACAAACCTATGGAAAATAGACAATTTGAACGCTTTCCTGACAGAGAACAGGATTGTGTAAGCGCCTAGCTTCCACCCACCCAGCCCACCCACACACACACGCACGCACGCACGCACCCACACACACACGCACGCACGCACGCACGCACGCACACACACACACACACGCACACACACTCTCTCTCCCCCCCTCCACACACACACACCCACACACGTACACACACACACCACACAACACCACACATACACACAACACACAGCAACACACACACAGCACACGACACACACACACACACACACACACACACGCTAACATAGACGCATAATCACTAGGCTTTTTTTAATTGCTTAACCGGTGGTACTTGTAAGAAAATTATTTGCAAAATAATGACGCCAGATTAACACACACACGCGCACATGGCACACGCACACACACACACACACACACACACACACACACAACACACACCGCACACAATACAACACACACACGCCGCACACACACAACATACACACACACACATATCACGACACACACATACACACACACACACATCACACACGACACCACATACACACACACACACACACACACACACACACACACACGCGCGCACACACACACACACACACACACACACACACACACACACACACACACACACACGCACACTCAAACAAAATAACAAGTAGGCCAATACATACATGTTTTCAAAGGAATAATTGGCCCTTGTAAGAAACTTAAATCTTTGCAAGACTGATGTGCCCTACAAATATTTGTACGATGTTTTGAAGAAATACAGGAAAATCGGCCTGACATAAATTGGCCTTAGCATATCCATTCATTGTTTCCATACATTTGTGTGCATTACAGATAGTTTGGCATTATATATATGTATGTATCCAGTAAAAATATTGCATTTTGACAAATAATTTGTTTAAAAAATGTATATAGTCACCACACTTCAGGTTTACAGTAGAAACATCAAATTAAACAGTTTACAATGATTGATACACATTAGCCTATATACACAGATAATGATCAGACTGGTAACTGATGGAAATACAGCCTACTAAACTATTCACAAAGTCTCAGTCCAATCTAGAGGCCAATAAACATGGTTCTCTGTTAACCTCTCATCCAGAACTAGAAACTTCTGTGTGATAACAGAGTAGCTAACTGAAATGAAGCTACAGCTAAGGTAAAGTGTCAACAATGTGAACACTACACATCTTCATCTTCTGTGTTTGAGTCTTCATCTAAAGATTCTCCAGCCATCGGATTTTGGCAATCAGTGCACTTGCACAGATCAGTACATGGTACATGCTGCTGCCTGCAAGAACATCTTCCCTTGTTTTTACCAGCTGGCATCTGACAGTTTGTCTTTTTGCAAGTGCAGTAAGTCAGTTCAAGCAAACTGCTTGGGGCAGGGGGTTGTTCTCCCCAGACAACATTTAGTCCTCCGTCTTTCACTTTCCAACCCCCATGTGGGCTTGAAATGTCGGGGGTCTGCTCCAGACAAAGACGATGTACAGCAGCCTGGTAATTGGCTCTCTTGATATGCTGTCTCAGTGCGTCCTGTGTTGGTGGAAGACGAGCTTCTGACTTGATCAACATGAGGAACATGTTGTGGCGTGCCTTATTAACACTGTCGCATCCTTGCCGATATAACTGACAAACGAATCTCTCGAGTCCACAAAAATTATCTTCGTTCACTGTGAATGAGTAACCTAACTGTTGGAATGTAGCCTTAAACTCGGCACTTTCTACTATTAACTTGTATGCCTTTGCTTTGGATATACCATGGAAACTACTGACAGAGTCACAGCCAGTGAAGCAATGGAAAGAAATAAGTGCATTGCAAACATCTTCCCCGAGGTAGGTACTTATGGCAGACAAGCTAAGAGTCCTCCTGTTGTGGCCACTCCCTTCCAGTGTGAAATAACAACTCGATTCTTATCTCTTTGGCTCTTGCTACTCCTATGATGAAGACATCAGTATCCGGGCTGCGAAATTTTTTTCCCACGAGAGTTCCGGACCACAGCCAATCAGCGCACTCCATTCACTCGACTTCCTCGAAGCAACAATGTAAAATAAATACCCTAACCCGCAACCCGCAACCCAAACCCTAACACTAACTATAATCCAACCATATATATACGAACCATATATTATAAAACACTATCTATGGTGGGTCCGGAGCTCTCGTGGGAAAAAATTTCGCATCCGGACTCTTGATCACAACTGGAATATATTAGAAATATCAATCTAAAATTATTTGATTTAATAGTTAAGTAATTTTTAGGTGCAAAGTATAAAATTACTAAGCCAAGATAGGCCCACCAATGAAAAGCAATAATCTTGATTTGGAAATTACAATATAAACTCATAATTGCCCCTTTGTTTGAGGATAACTACCACTTTCAATTGGATTTGTGTTCCTTGGTTTTCCACTTAAAACACAATTGTAAAAAGTACTTATTTCTTGCATATGAGAAGACATTAAGTGAATTTAGTAATTTTTACTTTTTTGCCTTTTATTCCTCCGAATGGCCCGGTTGATCTCGGTAATATTGCAAAAGTGGCGGTAGCATTCAGCATGATAGCCATAAAACCAGTTTTCCACATTAATTAATACATTGATACCTCGTATTTATGAAATACGGTATTTGCGAAATACCGATTCCGAGACAAATACGCGGCCGAGCGTTCACACGCTGATTCGCAGCTCCAGAAATGCCGTATTTGCGAGCTGCGAGCTGCTTAAAACTGTCTACGTCACGAATTTCGAGCACCAGCAAGTAGTATATTTGTGTGTTATTTGTACAAAATAAAATGTATGAAAATACAAGTAGCGTTTCTGTTTACTTTTCATGCTTATATACCTTCTTTATACTCCCTAATTTGCCGGTGCATTCGATGTAACCAAACGCTCGACACAACAACAACCGCCATGAATTCGAAAATTATTGCGTGGCGCCCAGACGCAGCTAGCCGATATAGCGAACATTTGCGGTAAACGAAGCATTGGCAAAATTATTGTGGCAGCCATGGAAATTCCTTCTGCTTTTTTCTCTTTCGTTTTCTTTCCGATGCACTGGTCTGCCCACCATTGTTTATCGTTTAGTTGATCTAGCCTCTGATCTATCCTGAAGGGGATGTCACAAACATTTTTGTTGGCAGAAATTTAAAAAAACACAAATAACATTTCGCAGTTTTAATAATAATTTTTCAAACATAATACACATGAACATATATTATTTATTTTTCCTATATTGTATATTCTATATAGCCAACACAAATCAAAACAGAAACTGTTTGGGCACCACTTTGTGCACCATACACAAATCACGATGACATCGTCCACAGCAACCAGTACAGCAACAGAGAGACGCCAGTAATATGTAAATAGTGTTAGACAACACTAATTCAAATCGTCAAGATTTTTGCAAATTTAACCAACGTAAAAACATTTTTATCAGGTGAAAGTTTGAGGATATATTTAGTAACGTTAGTACTAACTTTTGATGCAAAAAAATTACAAAAATAAGGTTTCAACTATATTTTTTTAAATAATTTCTGGAGATTCGTGACGTAGACACTTTAAACAATCAAGCGAACAATGCAAAATAAACAATGCAATGCGCACCCACTGCCGATAAAATACGTAGACTGGTCCGCGCTCGACAGTTCCACTCGCGTTACACTGGCACTGTCGAGCGCGGACCAGTCTATAAAATACGTGGCTTCAGAAATACGGTATTTAGCGTTCACACGAGGAAATGCGCGGTCCAAGAGATCCGGTATTTCTCAAGCACGGCAAATTATTTGGGGTCTGGGAAGCCGCGTATTTCAACAAATACCTGATCTGTTTAGATGTACCGTATTTCTTGGACCGCGCATTTTGCCTCGTGTGAACGCTAAATACCGAATTTCTTGCTACGTGTGAACGCGGCTACTGATATATTCAGTACAGCAAAAGCGGACACTCGCATGACGTCATTAGGTTTACGTTTGATTGCGTTATAGGTTGTGTACAACAGTAGAAGGCGTCCATAGGCAGCAGGCCTGAATAAGCATCAAACAGAAATAAATTAAAAATACTTACAGTGTTTCGTCGCATACGCAATATACACTTTATTTATGTTAAATAACTACAGATTCATGCTCTACATGTCGCTCTATGACGTGCATTTCTACAAAGTTCTTGGATCCCGTTTCAAACACAAAAATGGCCAACCGGTCACCATGGCTAAGCCAATTGACGGAATGTCACAACTACACGACAATACCAATATTACTTCTAATGCTTTCTAGACATCCCACGAGGCATCTAACTGGCCTGCATAATGCACGGAGACAGATGAAGAATTGTTGTAAAGCATAACAATTGTTATGAAGAATAAGCATACATAATGTGTTAGATTACATCTGTTCTCTAAGTAGATGTGAAATGATGTTAATCGAGGAGGTTGTGACCTTGGTTGAAATTATTCTAGTTATGCCAGCAATGCTGAGAGTGAACATTCTTTTAGCAGTTTGAGACGAATAAAGTCTTATCTGACGTCCACCATGGTCCATGGGACAAAAACGTCTCAACATGCAGCATAATGACCATGCATTCGCACAAAGAAATAACAGATTCTATCAACCTGACAGATATAGGGAACGAATTTGTCAATTTATTTTCGGACAAAATCTTCAATACATTCTCCCCCCCCCCCACACACACGTACGCGCACAGACCGTTTAGTTTATCAAGTTAGGTTAACGTACTGTAGTGACTATGACCAACCCCTAGTCCGAACCATCGTGTTTTGAACCTGAAACTATTTATCTCTTTATCTTTCAAAAGTAGACTAACCTATTGTTCCGTGCGATCAGGCTCTGGCTTCATGGCCCGTTGTCAGAAACACAATTAATCTTAAAATTTGTCTTAACATTAACCTTTTGTCATAGACCGTTGACAGAAACATGGTGTATGTTTTTTTAAACATTTTTATACGAATACGTATAAAGGTTCGATCTACGAGTAAAAATTAACGTACGTTTAAACTGATGCTAAGACTAATTTTGTTTCTGACAACAGGTCTCTGGCAGCTTCCACAGAGCATTTCACTTACTTGCTTTAAAGTGTGAACCTAACGTGTCGTTTGCATATTGGTCTGCACACTGTCACTAATTCAATCTAATCGCATTAAGTGATATTCTCATCCTGTTCGGGTTCCCCATGCGTTTTATTCGTGTTCCAAGTCTATATACAGTTCCACCCAGCTGCCACCTCAGTACTTGTGGGAAGTAGACATAATTCTATTAGAATCAGTCTAGAATTATTTAGAGCGAGGTCTGAAATGCCCAAGACAAGTATCCGGTCTGGTACAAATTATCTTATTACTATCTTATCTTACTTGGTCTATATTCGTTTTTAATCATATGGCAAAACTTGCTATTGGGTAAGCGCTCCGGAATATAGTTGTGGTTGATAGTACGTGCTTTTTATACCAAAAGGCTACCACAAAAAATAAATCTGGGACTTTTATCCTGCAGTCTGTGACCTCAGATAGTAATCACAGCTCGTGTTCAATCACGTCTACACAGCTATAGCGCACCGACACTGCCGATATAATAATATCAGGAGTTAATAATGATAAATTGTCATTATTGACAAATTGAAATATTGACATATTTGACATATTGACAATTTGTCATTATTAAACCCTGATAATATCGAGCAACTGTCTTGTATTCACCCAGCAGCTAGCAACGCTATATTTGCCAATATCAGTGATAGTACACGTACATCTTTATATATGTCTATATGCAGTTGGTTTTGTGTACGACACGAGGCGTGTAGAAAACGAATGTCTCTTTACACCTAATCCAGAGAGACATGATACAAGATTGCGTGGCACAGCTTTGCTGTTGATCCCGAGCGCTGCGCGCGGATGAGACGCGCAGTTCCGCGGGATACGCGCACGCGACCGCGGGGATGTTCAAGTATGAAGCGTATGTTGGGGGTCCATTATGCAGAGCTTCCAATTGAAATGGCCCATGAAATTGTCAAGTGGAATTGTGTTTTTCGGAACCCCAAAGAAAATGTCTCCCTCTTACATGCACCCCTCCCTGATCAATTACGCATTCAGGCGTAAACAATAACAGAGATGAAATTGTGTTGAGTTTATGGCTCTTGGCGCACGTGCATTGACGTACAAGACTGATGAAAGGGGGGCCGCCCTATAGACCGAAGGGCCGATAGACCGAAGGTCCGATAGACCGAAGGTCCGATAAACCGAATATTGAAAAGGGACCTATAGACCGAAGGTCCGATAGACC